TGGAATAGCAGAGCAAAAAGAGAAAAAGAGCAAAAGGCTTTTGAGAATTCTTTGTCTTCTTGTCTCTCCCCTCTCGACACCTCTTTCACAGCCTCGTGAGAGTTATCTAAATTAGTTGGTTTCAGAGTGAGCGTCTATTTTCTACAAGTTGGTATCGGAGCGTATTCTAATTTCAACAAATTAATATCATAGCGAATTTTATTTCAACAAAATGGTATCAGAGCCGATGGCGAACATGATGAGACAAATGCCACTACCACGATTGACGAAGATGAACTATGAGAATTGGAGCATTCAAATGAAAGCTCTTCTTGGTTCGCAAGACGAATGGGAGGTGGTCGAAGAAGGTTTCGATGAACCGAAGAATACCATGGGTTATACGGCAGCACAAAACAAGGCCCTAAAGGAATTATGATCAAATGATAAGGCAGCATTATACATGTTGTTTCGAGTTGTTGACGAGGCGGGCTTTGAGAAGATAGCAAGGACAACTACTTCAAAAGAAGCCTGAGACACTCTAGAAAAGGTGTTCAAAGGAACCGATCAAGTCAAGCAGGTGCATCTCCAGACTCTGCATGGCGAGTTGGAGAGCATGAAGATGGAGTCAGAAAATGTATCTGACTATATTACACGTGTACAGACCATGGCGAATCAACTAAATCAAAATGAAGAAATGCTACCTGAGATGCGGGTTGTGAAGAAAATCTTGAGGTCGTTAACAGAAAACTTCGAGAATGTCGTATGTGTCATAGAAGAGTCGAAGGACCTAGCGAAGTTCACAGTCGATGAGCTTGCCGGTTCTCTCGAGGCGCACGAGCAACGTAAGAAAAAGAAGGAGAAGTCGATCAAATGCTCCAAACGAAGGCATCAATAAAGGATGAAAAAGTACTCTACACTCAAAATGTTCAAGGTAAAGGTCGTGGAAACCGCGGGAATGGTCGAGGTGGTCAAGGCAACAGTTACGAATAAATCTATAATGAGAAATGACTATCGAGCCAAGCAAATTGGCGTGGAAGAAGACGCAGTCGAGGAGAGGCGGCCGATCAAACATTCAGTGCTACAAATGTGAGAAAATATGGCCACTATACAAATAATTGTAACTCCGACAGATGTTACAACTGTGGCAGAATGGGTCATTATGCAAGAGATTGTTGAGTCGAGGAAAAGGTGGAAGAAACCATCAACCTAACCGTGGATGACGCAACAAATGAAGACATTCTCTTGATGGCCCAAAATGAAGAGTCGAACACAAAAGAAGACGGCAACACGAAAGACGATGGCGATAGTCGTGAGGTAGTGGAAACTGTTAGAAATGAGGTGATGCACAGTGAATGTGGCGAAATCCTGATAGCGGAGACGAGAAAATCGAATAAAGATGAACAACTGAATAACAGAGAGCCCGAGCTCGAAGAGAGAGAGCTCTACTAGCTGGAAAAGCAATTTGAGGAAGAAAGAAGAAAGAGGATGAGAATGGAAGAGAGAATGGAAGAAGAAAAGATGGAATGGAGAGAAAGGATGGCAAAAATGCAGATTGAACATGAGAAACAAATGATTCAAATGCAACCTGCAATCCCTTCAAAATCCCTTGAAAATACCAAAACAATGATGAAGAAGAAGCCCATGCGATCGAGCTAATGAAACTTCCAGATCATGAGGAGGAGAACAGAGATTTAGAGCAACAACTCAAAACTGCCGTGGACAAATCTGTGGAAAAGTCTCAGTTGCAGACGTTGAAATCCTTTAATGAAGCCATGATGTCTGAGTCAAGCGCGACTGAGAATAGGAAAAATGAAGAGTTGGTGTCTTAGATAGGCCGTTCTCGAGAAGATCCAAATGAAGTCTAATCAGAGAAGGACAACCTTATTTTGCCGCTCGAGGAAAATGAGAGAAAATTGAAGAAACCACGACTGAGCTCGAGAAAACAAAAATGGCGCACGTGGAATCATTGAATAAAACATTTAAGTATATGGGGGAGTTTTGGGAATAAACTTAAATGTGAGAGAAAAAAAGAAAAAGTCGTTATTAATTTTGGGTTTTAAAATTCAGTCAAAAGCCAATAAGCATTTTAGCAAAAGAGTGGTTGATGAGAGAGAAAACTTGTGATAGTTATGGCCAATTTTAGCCTCACGAAAACTTATAAATATAGGAAGGAGCAAAAAGAGAAAAAGAGCCAGATATACAGCCTGATAAAATAGGCTTTTGAGAATTCTTTGTCTCCTTGTCTCTCCCAGACACCTCTTTCACATCCTCGTGAGAGTTATCTAAACAAGTTGGTTTTAGAGCGAGCGTCTATTTTCTACAAGTTGGTATCGAAGCGTATTCTAATTTCAACCATTAGTATGATAGCGAATTTTATTTCAGCATTAACAACTTCATGCTTCCAACTTTTTTAGAACCTCACGGATCTACCATTGTAGACGTCAAGGTGTTGCAAAAGCTTCGTGGAAGTGAAGAAGAGAGACTGACAGAGAGGTAGATGAGGAAAAGAGACGAGAAACACTGTTGGAGATGACGTACGGAGGAGAGAGAAAAAGGACGGAAAATTACGCCGAAATTGGGTGAAGAAGATGACTCCATCGAATCCAAATCCGGGTCAAACTCACCTACACCAAACCGTCCGTAAATCCAACAACCTGCAGCAACTTGGCCCAATTTAACCCCGCCAGCCCTGATCCAACCAACAAGTGAGGCCAAACAAGTAAATGACTTTACTATAGGATAGACTAGACACTTGTTTGATGTATGACGACACGTGCCTAGTGACAATGACACGTGTCATTTATGTTTTATGCTTATGATGCCTTGATCATGAATTATGTTGTATGACGTATGATGTATGATGACGTGTATGAGCTATAGGATGACGTTTGATGATGTTTTACGATGATTATGTTGTGTTTATGATGACATTACATGATGATGATGCATGTTAATATGACGATGTAAGATGATGTTATTTCCTTAATACGACGTATGTTCCATATTAAGATGAAAAACATGTTATGAATGACATATTGCATTATGAGGATGGTTTTCATAGGATACAACCCTATTTAATATTAATGATGATGAAAGAAAGAAACTAATGCATGTATATTACTGACCGTAATAAAAGGATGAAATAAGGGTTGTGTCATAAAGATGTTTTTAAAGACGAGAAGCCATAGGGACCTCATGCATTTATGTGAGTACATATATATCGGGATACTTCCCCTTTTATGATCATCATCATGTCGCGCATGACACTCAGGGGTCTATTAACTTCCAAACGTTGCTACAGACAGCTAGCTCAACTATGATGGGTCCAAAGGAGGTGCGAACCGCCTGGGGATTCACACTTACACGTGTGAATCGTGTATAGGAAAGTACCACACATTCAATTTAGTCTGGACTGAAGACCACCCCTAGGATGTTTTAATGATAGGTCCCTAGAGCATGACTTGCATGTGTTTGCATTTCTACAGTCTTATAGTACGGTCATTTACTGAGTATTATTCGAAATATGCAAGTCGTGTGCTACATCATTTTCAGGTAAAACTAAGGCGCCCCTGTACAGCTGACAATAACATTGCAATCAAAGACCATAACACGTGTATAGGCTAGTAACACATTTAAATTCCTAGACTTAGGTTAGATCAAGTTGTCATGCATTTCATATTTTGAATTATTTATTGTTATCGTTTTTAATTTTGTTTCCGGATTATGTTTTCGAACACGTAAGATATGTTTTAAGAGAAATTTTACATAATAGTTTAGGTTAAAATGACAGTAGCTAGTTTAGGTAGCAGAAATCTAGGTTCGATTTATCAGTGGACAATTTTTAGTCGAGTCAACTCTACCAACTCAGAAATAGGGTTACAATCCAACTCAACCCAACTCAATCTTACCCTATTTTTTAAAAGATTATGAATATTTAATGTTACAGTCCAGGCTCACTGCTAGCAGATATATTATCGTGTTTGTGCTTTTCTTGAGCTTTTCCTTTTGGGCTTCCCCTCAACGTTTTTAAAATTCATCGGTTAGGGAGAGGTTTCCACACCCTTACAAATGGTGTTTTGTTCTCCTCCCCAACCGATATGAGATCTCACAATCCACCCCCTTTAGGGCCCAACATCCTGTTCTCCTCCCCAACCGATATGGGATCTCACAATCCACCCCCTTTAGGGCCCAGCATCCTCGTTGGCACTCGTCCCTTTCTCTGATCAATGTGAGACCTCCACCAAATCCACCCCCTTCGGGGCCAAACATTCTTATTGGCACACCGTCTCGGTTTACCCCCCTTCGGAAAACAGCCTCCTCACTGGTATATCCCCAGTGTCTTGACTTTGATACCATTTGTAATGGCCTGGGCCCTCCGCTAGCAAATATTGTCCTCTTTGGGCTTTCTCTCTCGAGTTTCTTCTCAAGGTTTTTAAAATAGGTATGCTAGAGAGAGGTTTCCACACCCTTACAAATGGTGTTTCGTTCTCATTCCCAATGGATGTGGGATCTCACATTTAACGTTTGTAACCAATTTTTGATATTTGAACTTTATGAGATTTTAGTTATTAACGTAACATATATTTTATGTAAGTATATTTTTTTTAAATAATTATATATATTGAAAAACAACCCAACAACCCGACCTGACCCAACTCGAGAATAGAGGGTTAAGTTGGGTTGGGTTGTGTTCTGAACTCTATTTAGGTTGATCGAGTCACCAACCTGACCAATTCAAAATTTCTGATTGCTTCAAAAGAATTTTTCAACCTAGCCGGCTCGAATTTTTTTTGTTGGTTCAAAAGATTTTTCCAATTCATCTCAACCCAACCCGTGTAATCTCATTTCACCTCGACCACATATATCTCTACTTCCTACGTCATCAATCTCTCTCTTATTATCATTCTTTATAATAAAAAAAAAAGAAAGAAATTAAAATTAAAATAGTACGAAAATGAAATAATAATTCAACAATAAAATCTCTTTTCATTTTAATAATATTACAAATTAGAGATATCTGGATGAACTTGGATACCCTTACAATTTATTGTGGAACGATGAACAAGAAGAATCTTGGAACTCAAGGGCTCAATCGTAATTTTCTCTCTTCCGACAGCATCTTAGCAAATTCAGCGAGGGCTTCTTCATTGGTACCTTCCCCATCAAGAGGCTCAAACTTTCCAGATTCCAAATTTACCCTCGACAATGGCTTTTTCAGCAACCTCTCTCCCACCTCCATCAGCTTCAGTAAATTCTCTCAGGTTGCAATATCCACCGACGATACATCGCCGGTCAGCGTGTCGTTCTGTTCACAATTTTAATTCATTTGCCAAAACTTATAGATTTATAAGTAAAGAATTATGCACAAAATGGATAATATTATACTATTGTGGAGCATAGTATAAGAGTCATGCCCTTCACTTAACTATGTCAATAGAAATCTTAAATATCGAACACAGAAATTGTGAGCCTCGAAGGTGTAGTCAAAAGTGACTCAAGTGTCGAACAAATAGTGTACTTTGTTCAAGGGCTCCAGAAAAAATAGTCGAGTAAGGGAAGACTATTCAAGGGCTACATAGTACTGGGAGGGAGTCTCACCTTTGCTAATTAAGGAATTGGGGATAGATTTTTAAGTCAAAATGCATATCATTGCGGTGGTTCGTGATTCCTCATATTTAATAATGCTATCAAATTCGGTATACCTGAATACGAAGGTAATTCCTATGATGTTTCTCGCACTGGAAGATGCTGGAAATATGATAGTCCACCATATCAGAGCTTGCATCACTAAAGATGTCGATTATGGGAGTTGATCCGCCGTTGTAGATCCAACCAAGCATACCCCATTTGGAAGATACGGCGGCACTGTACTTCTCGTCGTTTTTAGGAACGCCAGTACCCAATGAAAGAATCAGCATCCTTTTTGCTTCCATCGGTTTTATCTTCATAAGTTCACTTCTTCGTCTCAACATGCTCATCTCTTTTGTCACATGAGTCATCGCAGCTAACGTCTGAAAATCAATTCAAACCTCCATTAATTTGAAAAACTCAATCAACCCAACTTTGAGTTGATTTATGAACTTATTTGAGTCATCTGGGTTCAAATAAATGAAAAATTTTATGAATTTGGTTGATTTATAGGTTAAACTCGATCCACCCAACTATTTGTGTTGGTTTTTACACAATGGTATGATATTGTCCACTTTGAGCATAAGCTATTATGGTTTTGTTTTGGACTTCCCCAAACAACCTCATATCAATGGAGATGATATTCCTTACTTATAAATTCATTATCTTCCACTAAATCAGTTAATGTGGGACTCCCTCCCAGCAATCCTCATCGGAGTTAGTATTTAGGTTTGAAAAAAATTTAGAACCGAACCATCTAAGCCTAAAAAAATGTCTAATTCGATCCGAACGGAAAACTTACTGGATTATTGGCTGCGACGCCCCCGTCAACCATATCAAATTTACGAACATTTCCGTTGGAATCCATAGTTTCAAATTCATGCCCTGGTAGGAAAGTAGGAGCAGCAGAGGTACTGATACAAACATCTGCCAGTTTGGGATTCTTCAGCTCATCCCATTTAGCCTGAAAATCCCAATTTCATCACTTCATCTTAAAAAACATGAACAAATATCATCATATCAAACAAAATTCCATACATCAATGGTAGTGAAAATCACAGGCTGAAGAAGCTTAATATCGAAGGCAGGAATAATGATTTGTGTCAATGTTTGCTTAAGCCTTATATCTCCAAGCAAATCCTTTATCAACTCTCTCAAGTACTTCCCGTCGTACTTTGGGCCCATCACTTTCCCAAACAAATTCACCGCTGAGCTCAAGAAATGGCTGCGTTCATTACAAAACCACTGAATTTAGTGAAGAAAAAGCTTTGAAATTGACCAAATTACAAGAGAAAAGAACCCAACTTTCTCTGGGGGAAGATTTTTGGTGCATGCTCTGTGTAGAAGCTGGTAAGATCTTTGGCTGCATACAATGGACGATTGTTCTTGTCGGGAGCCGTAAGCATCGAGGTAACTAAGCCACCGGTGCTCGTACCCGCAATTACGTCGAAGTAATCTGCAATTCTCGCATCTGGGCCATCCAATTCCTAACAAAAGAATTAATTTTTACACCTAGACGGTGGTGAAAATTCTCTATATGTAATCGTTTGCCGAATCAAATAGATTAGAAATGAAATGGAAAGAGCAAAAAATGGATACACGAGGTTAACCTAGTCAAATATGATACATATGGTAAATCGTAATTTGCAAGTCACTGATGCTCGTACCAACAATTAGGTCGAATTAATCTGCAATTTTGGCATCGGGGTCATCCAATTTTTAACAAAAGAACCAATTTTTCTTTATATTTTCACTCTTTTTGGCTAAGTTATGAAATGATGGTATCGTTTGAGAGTATTTGCTAAAACTACCACACTTAAATGGTGGTGAAAGTTCTCTATGTTTGTAATACTGAATCAAATAAATTACAAATAAAATGAAAAATGTAACGACTCTAAATTTTCTACCATTTAAACTTTCATAAAACATAACTTTCATCTTAAAATATAGTCACGAGCTTATGTGTTTGAAAACATTTTTAAAACGACACAACAAAAGACGATATTACAAAAAGAGCAACAAATGGATACACGATATTAACCTATAATCATGGGTCAAATATGATACATATGCACACCGTCATGGAAGACTAATTATCCTTCGTAATACAAGATATTAGTCTATAATCAAGTGTCAAATATGATGCATATGGTAAACCGTAATAAAAGACTAAATATCCTCAACATCGTCGTTACCTGAAGCTTAGACTCGAGAAAAGCTAGAATGGTTCCGGGAATGATGCCTCGAATGCCACCTCCGTCGATACTCAAAATGGTTATTTTCTTCCCCTTCCGAAAATCAGCGCCCATGGTGTATGAAGGGAGAGAGAAAGATGATATCGTTGGGATTATGGCTAGATATCTATCTCCACATGGGTCTTTATAAGAACAAGAAATGGAGGCTAATAATTTTAGTACTTTTCAACCCTTCGTTTATTTAATGTTTCACGTGATCATAATCCTTCCCATTTAAATAACTATTGATTTTTTCGAAGAAAAATAATGATAAAAAACAAATAACAGCGAATAATATTTTATTTCTCAAATAATATATAGTTGAGATAAACGTTAATGACTCAAATCATTATCACCCCAAGAGACATCCTTTCCTTATTCGTTGAGTCGGTTCAGACATGCGTAAACAAACATTAGCTGCAATAGCAAAATTCTAATTGGTTTCTCAACTATGCTTGGCTCGGGTTGACTCCATTGATTCATTTTTCCCATTTTAAAGAAGCAATTTACACATTTTTTATTGAATCCGATCCAATCTAACTCAGAAGTACATGTAATACGTGAGATTTGAAAATTGAGGACGGTGATATATATATATATATATATATATTTAAACGTGTGGTAAATATGTTGAGAGAGATGAAATAATTTTAATAAGTGCACGGAAAATTAAATGACAATGACCCACAAACAACGTAAACAAATGGAAAATGATAATACATAAAATTATTGGTAAGGTGGGGCCGTCCATTTTTGTCAGTCCAGAAAATTTCCCACGTTTGTTTTTTTCTTCATTTAAATAAACACGTGTACAACACGTAAGGTTTTGCTGGTTTTGTTATATTTTATTCCTTGAAAATTGAGTTTCATAGCAATAATAACTAAATAAATAAATAAATAATAAAATTATAGCTAGATATATTCCTGTTAAGGATATTTAGTAATAAATTATAGTTTATCATATATATTATATTTGATATTTTATTATAAGACAAATATTAGATATTTGCCTTATTATCATAGGTATCTTTCCATTTATTGTTATTTCCATTTATTACTATTTTCATATCCTTCTAATTCATTTGATTATAAATACGATAACTTTCACACCATTTAGGTGTGGTGGATTAATCAAACATTCACATGGTATCAGAGCCCTTTCGGTTTAACAACTTGATCCTTTCTTTTCAATGGCTTTTGAATCCTCTAATCTTCTTCTCCACCACCCCTGCTGGTTTTGACGCCGCAGGGGCAGTCTTCATGGCTGTCGTAGTCGGAGCCGATTGATTACTCTTCGTTTCCACCCTATTGACCTCCAAATCACCTTTCGTCATACTCTGTACATACAACCTCACCTTTTCCAACCAATCGATTTTCCCCTTGGCTAATATAGTTTCTCTCATTTTCTTCCCAATCAACCTTCATCTTTCACATAAACCCTAACCTAAACCTATCAACCTTTTGTAGAGATTTACCTTCGGAATCTGGGTGCCGCACTGGCCTATTCGTCAACCAAGTTGCCGCCGCCCTTCCTGCCAAAATTGGCTTCTTCGCCCGACGAGGCGACTCTTCCGACTGCCCTTCTCGCCAAAATTGGCTCCTTCGCCCAATGTGGCGACTCTTCCGGCTTCAACATTTCCGACTGCCCTTCTCGCCAAAATTGGCTCCTTCGCCCAATGTGGCGACTCTTCCGGCTTCAACATTGTCTTTGTCCCTTCTCGCCAAAATTGGCTCCTTCGCCCAATGTGGCGACTCTTCCGGCTTCAACATTGTCTTTGTCACTTGCTCTAGGTTTCTCCTTCTACTTCTTGGGGTTAGAAATATTCTCACCAGAGCCAAGGCAGCATCGTCGCTAAGCGACAATCCCTCTTCATGGGTTAGACATATTCTCGCCAAAGCCAAGGCACCATCGCCGCTGAGCGGCGATCCCTCTGCAAATTTTTGATGGCCAAGAACCGGGTTGTTAGCATCTTCATGAAAAGTGTTTCTCAACCTCTTTGAATTTTTCAGATTCAAGTTTCACGTTCGTTTAAATCCGACGCTTAGCTTGCAGTGGGGTGTTAAGGATATTTAGTAATAAATTATAGTTTACCATATATATTATATTTGATATTTTATTATAAGGCAAATATTAGATATTTGCCTTATTATCATAGGTATCTTTCCATTTATTGTTATTTCCANGATTAATCCACCACTTAGGGGTGAAAGTTATCTTATTTATAATCAAATAAATTACAAGGATATGGAAATAGTAATAAATAGAAATAACAATAAATGGAAAGATACCTATGATAATAAGACAAATATTAGATATTTGCCTATAATAAAATATCAAATATAATATATATGGTAAACTATAATTTATTACTAAATATCCTTAACAATTCTCATCTTATTATTTAATTTTTTTAAATCTTCTATGAAATAAGGTACATTTAACCAACAATTCTACCATCCGGACCAACCCAACTCGAACAATCAGTTCGGTTTCGAGTTCATGAGCAAAATCTTTAGGTTGATTCGAGCTAAAAAAAATATATAAAATATATTAAACTTTTTTAATGAATTGATGGGTTTGCTAGTGGTATTGAGGAAAATTTAAAAGCATTCACGCCCGAGTTCTATGATAGGCAAATACGTATTTCTTTTAATTATTTACTTTATTATTTTATTTCTTTTTAATTTTATTATTTTTTTATAATCTTTTTTTTTATTTCAATTTTATTATTTTGTTTCTTTTTTTAATTTCTTTTATATTATTTTGTTATTTTATTATTTTTAATTTGTTTAGTTTATTTCAATTAAAATATATTAGTTTTATGACAATGTTGCAATTTTTTTTATTGAATTTATTTATTTATTTATAATAATTTTTATTATTAATTTTTTTTCTCAATAATTATAAATTGATTTGAGTTTGTTTGCGAATTTTTAATATATTTTATTTAAGATTGTATCCGAATAATTATAAACCGTAGATAAATAAAAAAAATTAAAAAAATTTGACAACCCAACCCGGACCACAAGTAGGGTTGTGAAAAGTTTCGGGTTGGGTCAAAAAAATCTCCTAACCCGACCGAACTCGGACCATGTACACCCTTACTATATATGATTACGTGATGATGTTAGATGTTGATATTGTTGGGTTTTATGTCCTAAAACTCATAGTTTGTAAACAAAATCATATTCTATTTTCAATAAAGTTATTATTGTTGTTTATTCAGTAAAAATTGTTATTGAATAAAGTGAACTTTACAATCATTAATCTAAATCCAATAAACTAAGAACACTCTGGCTATAGTATGATTCCTTGAACTATATGTAGAGACATAAGAGTTGATCAAGTTCAAGTATATAGTCAAAATGATCTATAGTATAAGGCTGAGTACCTTATTCTGTGACACTATGGATGCGGCCTACTTTTGTATATGATATAAACAATGTGATTACTAAATTGTACATGTGGAGACATGTGAGTGGGGGCGTCCTATGCAATGAGTATTGTATAAGATCGAACCTTGAAGAAAATCACTCTCACTTTATAATGTCGTTTACTGTTGAGAATGATTTTCTTTTCATTTGATGACCTAGGTAACTCGATCTTAATCCTAAGCTAACCGTGAACTCCCGTTTATTTGGAATTATCCTTAGATTTGCATGGGTGAGAGTGGCTCAAGTTTGCCTGACTCATTAGGTCTCCCATTTCAGGGGTAAGACTGGGTAAATGGCTGGGGATATGGGGTGTAAGATGGAATTCACTCCTACCCACTTTTAGGGATAAAAGAGAGGTAGTTCCCTTAAGTTCTGACTCCAAGTCTTGAACAAGGGGCCCCACCCTCTCATTGGCCTGAAAGGGATTTGGTTTACTGGTTGGACCGCAAACCAATTGTTCATTAGAGGATCAGTGAGACAAGGAACAAGAAGTAACTTCAGGGGTAAAACGGTAAATTGACCCAGCTCTCGTTACGAACAACCTGTGAAGGATCGACTTACTAATCATGGTTATATCAAATGGACAGAAATATATCTATAGTGAGGGGAGTGCAACTACTAGGCTATAGTGGAATGTTCTAATAGTTAACGAATGTTGGTTAACAAGGTTAATGAGTTTAATCGGTTAATCTTGGATCATTGGAGCGCATGATCTATAGGTCCATTAGGTCCCTCTGCTAGCTCATAACGAACTAAACCATAGAATAGTGTGACGAGTGAGTTCGAAGTGTTTGAATTCAAATTAGGGAGAATGCGCTACATATAGACGATATATATAACCGCATTTTTGTTTTATTTACGAATTAAACAAAAAGAGAGAATCTTAGATATTTAAAGAGAGATTTAAATATCTTAATCAAATATGTGTCAGAATTAATTGAGATTGGTATTTGAATTAATATTAAATATTAATTAAATAGTTTAATTAATCATTTAATATTACTTTAATTTGAAATTAATAATTCAAATTGATTGTTGAATCAAAATGAAAGAAAGTCAAAATGTTAAATGAAAAATCCATGTTAGTGGAATTTTGAGATGTCAAAATTTGGTTTAACCAAACTTGCATGTTTGCCAAATAAACCCCACAAATTTGAGTGGAATTTTGAGTGTCAAAATTTGGTTAACTCAAGCATGCATGCTTGCTATATAATCCCAAACATTTGAGTGAAATTTTGAGTGTCAAAATTTGGTGATCTCAAATTTGCATGAACATACAAACATGACTATAAATAGAGTGATCATGGTACATGGAAGGTTGACTTTTGGAAAAAACGTTGAGAAAAACCTCTCACAAACTCTCTCTTCATATATACTAAATCCCTCCCAAGTTTAGTCACTCACCAGATTCTACAATCGCGTTCTAAGGCCGGAGAATAGTGGAGAAGACACTAGTGGTGGTTTGAAACCGGTCCGTGAGGGAAAAAAAAACTTGATCGACAAAAGGTTAGTATTCAAACTCATTGAGTTTTAATGCTTTTGAACATGCTAGCTAATTCACTATAATTGATGTAGTTAGAGTGCCTAAGATCCAAATTACTTCCGCATGTGTTATATTAACACCATCAGATGTGATGATGTTATATGATGACTTGATGATGTTAGATAATGATG